GCCTGTCTGATGGAGTGAGAATCAGCTCCTGTGTTTCAGAGCAGGAGTCAGATACAGCAGAGTCAAACAGGAGACGGGCTCCACTGATCACCAGAGGACAGGAAGCAGCTGATAGGACTTTAATGAAACACACAGTTTGAAAGTAAAGCTGGTTAGCATGCTAACATCAGTGACAGTTTCCACCTCTGGAGACAGATGTTGGTGAGTAAAGGAATGAAGGTTGAATGTTTCTACAGACTGGTCAGTAAACAGCTGCTAATGCTAACGTTAGCTATGTAGCAGTAACAAAACAAATAGCTCCTTTAAAGAAGGAGTTTGACATTTGGGAGATTAGCACAGCTAGCCTCATTAGTTCTGCTTATATTTGGTCACAAAGCAAAGAACTGAACAAGTTGAAACTTTGGTCTGATGCAAATATAATTAATCATTAATGACGTCATCAGGATTCATCCTCTGAGCACCATGAATGTCTGTCATGAGACAGTTTCCTGTGTTTTTCCATCAGACACGATGGATCAGTCAGCTGCATGTGGATAACAGATGTTTCCACATGTTCAGACGGATCACTTTATGTTCCTGCATGTGATGAAAACTCCTAACTCCATCGTCCCACAGACTGAAGAGTGGAAAAACACAAACATGAAAACCTTCATTGTAAACACGTGTATTTTATGGCCTGTATTTTTACAGGGAAACAGGTTTACAATAAAACGTGATAAATCAATAATCACGTCCCTGGAGACGAAGAGATCTGTTGAACTGTTGTGAAATGTGTTTGAGCAGCTTCAATAAAACTCCTGCTGCTGATTGTAAAAGTCTCTTATCTCTCGTGTAATTACTTGATCCTGGGAAAGACCTTCTGTGTGCAACATGCTCCTTTTGTGTTGGAACAAAACATTTTGATCTCTTTGTTCTGTGAGCAACATGTTTCCAGCTCTGCACGTTGTGAAATCCAGACGTGGCGTGCAGCAGCAGCGTGAGGCGTCCTGCTGAGTGACGCTGCACAGACTCAGTGAGGACACGCTCCTCTGAGGTAAGAGCTGTTGACTCCGGCTAAAGGAAGCTGGTCATGATGTAGATTTGCCAGTGCTAAGGGACAGGTGTGACGCTGGGAGGTGAGAGTATCTGCAGAGTCATGACGCTGCAACACTGTGTCATGTCATAAGACTATTAGAGGAGGATCTGGCCTCTTTAAATAACCTGTTTAAGCCTCCGTGCTGCCACTGAGAGAAAAGAGACGAGAAAAGCTGGTGAGGTTGTGGATGGAGGGAGGTGAGAGAGGTGGAGATACAGTGGTGCACGGGGGGGGGGGGGGGGTGAGTCAGAGTCACACAGAGGGAACATCCTGCCTCCAGTCCTGTGCAGCGTTAAGAGGCTGAGTCAGTCTTCAGCGCGGCGGGAAAATCATGTCCTGGAAAACTTCTTAGTGTATATGATCCATCTGCTGAAGACGAGCTCACGCAGAGAACTGGATGAACTCTGTTAAAGACAGAAAACTGAGAGTCTGACCTTTAACCTTCAACTGCACGTTCAGAAACTCCTAGTTACACATATGCAAATGTAATATATGTACATATATTGAACCTTTGTATGTATATATTTGTATATAAATATATAAACCATTAATAAGTCTTTATAAATAGTGCTTTATCTGAGAGTGTGAAAGGGCTGAGAGAAACTAATGTTTCACTAAAGTCTGACTCACTTCCTCGTGCTGGAAATTTCACAATTGCACATTATGGAAAAACAAATCTTCAGCTTTAGTTAGTTAATATTCATTATTTTAAAAGGATTCAAACATGAACTCTCGTCCATGCTGACGGCTGACTCCACATATGTCTCAGTAAGGACCTGTTAAGGACAGAGAGTCATCGCCATCGTTATTCATATATTTTGTTATTGATTTTCATTAACAACAGTTGTTCTAATTGATACATAACAGAGAATTTTTGAATGAAATTCCCATGAACAATAATAAAAATGAAAACTGCTCCGCAGCCACAGGGCGTTTGTATTTGTAGGAGGTGTGCTGTAACCCAGCGGTCGAGCTGCTGGTGGGTGTCAGCAGCTGTGGAGGAGACTCTCGTGGTCGGTGACTCAGACTGAATTGCCGAACAACAATGAGAAGCATAGAGAGGCCGTCTGTTGTGGCTGCATCATCAGCAGACGTCCAGGATGAATTCAGCTTTGTTTGTTTCTGTGCCGTGATGCTGGACCAGTCGACCAGCTGACGAAGAGCCGACACTCACAATCTGAATCTGTGTTCAGACTCAAACACGAGCTGCTCCAGTTCGTTAGAGGAAGTCGTGTAAAAACCAAACTAGAGTCCAGGAGACGTCAGCATCAGCATCAGCATCAGCATCAGCATCAGCATCAGCCCTCTGCTCCTCTGTTTTTCTGGTAAAGCCATAAATAGAAGTAAAAGCTCTTTTATCTTTTACGTCTCCAACAAACAAAAAAACTGCAGACTTTCCTAAATTTGATCTTCGTGAATAATCCTGTTTCAGCCACGTCTGCTCAATAACAACAACGACATGAACCGTTCACATCAGACAGAGCTTCAACAATCACATCTTCACATCTCAGCCTCCGGACACACATCTGAAAATAACTCTTCCAAAAATACACTTTACCCTCGATCAGATGAACCTTCACTGAGGGCAAGGGGGGGTCACGACCTCTGTAATGTTGGGGGTTTAGAAACCTGGATCCAGGGGTTGTGAAAGTTACTAATGGTGGGATTTGGATTTTTAATAAATCATTTCAGTTTATATTAAGGAAGGATCAGGTGACGACATGTGAGTTCAGTTGTAGTGGAAAATCCAGCTGTTTGCTCACAGGTTCACAGTGATAACACGTCCGTGTTCTCTTCACAGTTCACGTCTGACGTAGTAGTTTGACCGAATTATCTTCACACAACGATCAAAGAAACACGCCATCAGAGCAGCAGCTGTAAACTGTCTAAACGCCTCCTGGCGAGGAGGAGGAGCAGTCAGTGAGCGCCGCTCCAAACATCGTCTCCGCCCTCTGATGTGTTTACAGGTGATGACCAGCAGCTGAGAGAGGTTCACGTAACTCCACAATAAGAGCCTTTCCTCAGAGTCACCGAGGTCGTGTAATAAACAACATACATGCAGTTTATCACAAGAGGGTTTCTGCTTCAAACTGAAGACTTAAGTCAGAGTTATGTAAGTGGCATTACTGGGTCGGCATGTGAATAATGCCTTTGTGTGTGTGTGTGTGTGTGTGTGTGTGTATCCTCCTGTCAGATGACCACCATCACTGAGCTGTATGATGCCCCTGCTGTAGTTAATGATTCATGGAGCTATAACAATTATTTTCAGTGTGAATTAATCATTAAATTTAAATTTAAATTTAATTTGCTGAGTTTCCAAACCCCAAAGTGACATCTTCAGTTTGATTTTTCAACCAACAAAACCCAGAAATATTGAATTTACAAGAATATAAGAGAAAGAAGCAGAACATCCTCACACGTGAAAAGCTTCAGCTGCACATTTCTGTTTCATAAATGATCGATTATCAAACATACTTAAAATGTGTTTGTTTATTTCACTAAAACCTTCATTAGTTTGGGTTTGGATCAGTTCAGGAGGCAGCTTTGTTTTGGACTGTTCTCTTTAACAATATAAATATATTGATGCTTTTTCTGCTAATCTAATGATGTGAAGCTCTGTCTTGGTTTTAACTTGACTGACTGTAATGTTAGCTGGCAGGGCCCCTTCTGTCTGTGCGAGGGGCACGTGGAGCCTCAGTCCAGGCTGATCTGGACGCAGCATCGGTGACTGAAACGAGGGGAGCGGAGGTGCAGCTGAGGCTCCAGCTGGTTCCCAGCCTCTCTTATGAAACCATGCAGTGATCTGAGGCTTTGTGAAGGCTGCAGTTTGAGGATCATTGAGGTTTGATTCAGACTTTGGAGCTTAATGAGCATGTAATCCGCCTCACCTGATCCCTGCTCGCCAGAATGAGGTGAAATTCTTCAGTCCTCGTGGTCGAGAGGAAAGCGGCGTGGAGCCAGAACGGCATCGTGATCCTCTCTTGCATCAGTTTCAGCTTTCTCTGGCTTTGTTACTTATTGTTTTTATAACATTGAGATGCAGTTAAATCCTGAAGTTTCAGTGCATCAATAAAGTTTGACTGTTTCTTCTTATAGAGGAGGAATCATGGAAAACAGGAGTTTAGACTTGAAGTGAGTTTTACAGTTCAGAATGTCAAAGTGCTGTTATAGCATCAAGTTTGTAACTCAAACTGTATCTGCTGATGAAATGTGATATGATTGAAAGCTCCAGAACTGCTACTCAATGGACCAGGTGTTGAGATTGTTTAGTCAGCTGCTGTTTCCAAAGTGAAGGAGGAGCTCTGAACGTCAGGGTTCAGCAACATGGACGAGACGTCCTTAAAGTCTCTAGAATAATTTTAACATCTATAATCTATAATAATAAAGACAACCGGGAAAACTTCATCTGCTGATGAAGATCATGTGCTATGATCAAAAGCTCCACAGTGATCACATGGACCTTGTGGTGAGATGGTTCTGACATAATTAAGACGGTTCTTCTTTCTGTTTTATCATTTGAAGAAGCCACTAAGCTGCTTGACGTCACACTGGGAAACATATTTACAGTAGTTTGCAGATTACAGTGTGTTTCATCAGAGCCTGGTGTGAAACCAATAAACTTTGGTGAAACAGAAAAACCTCTGGTGGTAAAATGTCACCTACGTTCTTAATTGAAATACAGAAGTCACAGTAATTTGTCACAAAATAAGAAAATATCTCCCTATTTAAAGATATAATCAATATATTACATCATCAGTAATATATTGATGGTATTGTATGTTACCTGCCCGGAACCAAACAGCCGACAAATAAAGTATTTATCAACTTTATCTGAAGAGAGGACGCTAATTTCCGCTCTAACATTTGGCAGCCATTTTTGATATGTTACCGCCCCCTGCTGGGCGTCCCCGTACGTATCCTTGACCTACGTCACATCCGGGCAGAAATTTCAGTTGAACACAGCGAGGGGACGGCGCTGCAGAGGTGAGTGAACTGAATCTGCCTCCATCTGCCTATAATTATAGAATATACCAACTTCTGATTCAGTGAAAAGTTTTAGAGGTAAAGTGTTAAAATAAAACGGTGGCTTTTGTTGAAACATTCAACCGTTTTAAACGGTTGAATGTGGGAACAGGACTTCTGCCTAAACGTGGCGGGTTTTTAAAAATCAGTTATTAATTATTTTCCGTGTTGTTTACAGACTGGAGACGTTTCTGTGCCACAGACTAAACATGACGAGGTATGTCTGGCTTTATCACTGTAACAGCAGCAGGTTTTTATTTCCAGCTCATGTGAATGTGTTAGACATGATGGAGTAAAGTTCACAGAAAATGCTAACAGGCTAACAAGCTAACACGCTCATTACAAACAGCATGGAGGTTTCCGTGTGTGTTAGTGTGAGCTGTGCAGACCTTCCAGCGAGGCCGGGCCTGCTGTGGCCCTGTCCTTTCCTGTAGTGTCTGCTAGAGAGACCTGGGGCTGTTTGAGGCCCTGCTGTGACTCTTCATGGCAGGGTTATAGGTAAACCTCAGACAAACTGCTTATTGTGTGCAGTAAATAAATTATTATTATCACTACATGTGTGCCATGAAAGGATGAGTCTGCAGGTTTTCATTGCCACCAGTGATTATATCAGCTGATGCACTGCTTAGACATCAATTATTGTTTTCGTATTGATAGATCACTGTCTGCTTTTTGTTTGGAAATAAATCTGTTAAGTTTTCTAAATTAATTAATGAAGGGAAAGTTGCACCGGAAGCATCAGGATCAGCATTGTCTGGTAGAACTCTACATAATGTAAAGTCTATATTATTGTATATTGTCACACACTTTACTCGCATTTGTATTGTAATAGATCATAGTAATAGGAGTTTATTCATGGAAAGATATCACCAGTGTTTGTAATTAGATTAACTTCTTTTATCCTGCAGTATTAGAGCGTAACTATACAGCTGCTAACAAACTAGTAATGCTCAGTCCTGTATGAGCTGTTCACCTCTCATCCCTTCATGGCACATAAAGCATGAAGAGACCTTCGCTTACATCTTATTACAATATCAATACTTAGCAAAGTAAACTGCTGTTTTACAGGAGTGCTGAGCTGAGTCCAGGCCCGGCTGTACTCACAGCTCCTGACTGACACCTGATCCTCACGTGGGAGTCTGACAAAACACTGAAGATTCAGGTTTGTATTTTTTTTTTTAAAGATACGATTTTATTTGAAAGATTCTTGTCAGTTGAAAGTAGTTGGTTTGCATGTCTCATTTAATCTACATTGTCTTGTTCCTCCTTTATTTTAATCTTAATATTCATTGATAGTATATTGGTTTTGTCATAGTCCAGAGGAATTTAAATTCCACTCACAGTGCAAGCCTGGAAACTTGGATATCTGTTGAGATTAAACAGCAAACAGGGAAAATGCAGGTTTTTTAAGTCTGAATCTACCAACATAATATAAAAGTTTAACAGATTAATGTAATTCTGAAATGAATGATACAGCAAACCCAAATAATTGATTTTTTATCCTACAGCCTTTTCTGTCTCTAAATAATTCTCATTAGGCTGTGGTGCCATGTGATGGGCATTTATGACTGAGACAGAAATCATAATTGGTTGCCACAGGTCTTGCTGTATGTGTGAGAACCTGTAGGTGTGGTGCAGACCTTCCAGCGAGGCCGGGCCTGCTGTGGCCCTGTCCTTTCCTGTAGTGTCTGCTAGAGAGACCTGGGGCTGTTTGAGGCCCTGCTGTGACTCTTCATGGCAGGGTTATAGATAAACCTCAGACAAACTGTCAGCTGGTTATTGTGTAAAGTACCTGTTCATCATTGAAGGTGACTATAATATATTATTAGTAAAAGGTGGTGCAGAGAATGTTCTGTGTTTGAATCTTTCTCTAAACTGTTTGTAGGTGTGAACAGTTCTGTCTGTGTTTCAGTGATGGACTGGAGACCTGAACAAGGTGACCCCACCATGTCACCCCCCAACCCCGTGAAGGATAAGTGGGTGTAACGGATGGATGGGAGGCGGCTTCCAGACCCCTGCGGAGGAGGAGGAGCTGGGAGTCAGCTGACATCGACATGGAGGGATCACAGGTCTGTAACTACATTTTAAACAGCGATCTGTTTAAAAGTACATTAACGTACTGTTTTCAGTAATCAGTTATCCACAGTCACTTGCATCATTAGATCACCACAGCAATGGAAGTGGTGTTGATAGTTTTAACATGTAAAGTTATTACGGTTGTACAAGGTCAAACTCCTCACCAGAGCTCAACATGGGACCAAGCTGATGGTTGTAGATTTAAAAACCAAAACGACTGTATTAACAAACAGGTTTTTATCAGTAACAACTGACTTCTTTTTTTTCTTTTACAGGAAATAAAAGCACAGAAGAAGAAATGTGTTGAATGGTCCAGACCCAAACCAAAGCCCCAGGCCGCTGAAGTTCATCCTGGTCTCACTCACATGAGCTCCCAGGTGTCACTGCGCATCAGTAATTTATCTATAGAAGAAGAAACCTGCAGCTTGTGGAGTGAAGTGGGTGCATTAGTTTTTCTGACAATAAAAATAATAAAACTATTACTAACCCCTACTGGGGAATAGTAGGAACAACATCTGCAGATTTCTCACATCATCCCTTTGCAATCCTTGAATTACTGAAACGTTTCTCACCCTAAAGTAATTAGTGGTTGTAGCCATGTTTTTCTAGACAAAAACCAAGGTTACCAGCTGTGGCCCTCTGCATCATGTCCCTTATACTTTCATCATTAGTCTTTGTAAAGATATGAAAGACTTGAAATAAACTTGATCTGAACATATTTACTGTGGTTGTAACTTGTTTGTTATAGAAACTGTCAGCACAGTGTTGTTACAGGATCTTCATAGAATAAGAAATATAATGAGACCACAGCTGGTTTCATTCATCGTGTCTTTGTGCAGCAGGTTTTGTCTCGACTTGATTTAAATTAAAATCCTGAAATTCAAAAAGGTTTGTAAATCAAAACAAACTTTTCATCCTGATCAGACATTCAGTACTTCAGTAGGTGTTTTCAGATGTGCAGTGATCTAAAATAAAACTTCCTGCTTCCGTGTCTAAAACAGTTTCAACAGACGCATCATGTCTGAAACATTACAATGAAAAACATGTTTGACAAGAATAATTTACTGTAATGTTTGTTTATGTGAGCACATGGAATCTGACGATGAACTGAGATCTTTGTTTAAAAAGAGGACGTACAGTTTGAAATACTGATTTATTAGTGCTTTAAGCTGAAACAGACATTGTTTAATACTGTTCAAGATCCACGTGAGGGCGATATTGTACCAAATAAATATTCCAGCAAATTTAAAATGATCTCAAATGTGGGTCTTACTCCTGTCACCGTGTGGATTATAGATCTACAGTTTGAGTCATTCTCCTTTTATCTAATGGCAATAAAATAAGATTTCCTCAGGATGGGTTTACAGTGATCCAACAGACATCTACCTCGTATGTGTAACACCTGACGTCTGTAATTAAGGAGAAATACGTGTATTTAATCAGTGACCAACCTTTAACAGGGTTGAGCCTCAGTAATAAAACATATTTAAACTGACTGTCCCAGTGAACGTTATTATCTTTGCTAAGGTAGAATAAAGATAAATTAGGTGATAAACTCTTAATTATGAATATATGAGTATTTTAAGGCACGACTTTTTTTGCCCCTTATAGTGAGTTATTTTATCTTCTTTAATATTTATTTGAAATGTTTAATGGAGTTTACATTGATACAGTTAAAGTGTTTTGCAGATTGAAAAAAAACAAAATAACAACAACAATATAATTAATTAATTAATTAGTTTCAACGACGGGAAATATGTACATTTTCTTACTGAGGAAAAAGGTCGAGAAGTATTTTATTTTATTTTATTGTGAAAGGAATCGTATCCCTGGACCGGACGTGGCGTCATGAGTTTCGGTTTCTTGGACGCTGCAGTAACCACCGTGGAGGTCCAGTGAAGAGTGGAAGAAGTGAGTGGAACAGTAAGTGTCTGACCTCTGAGCCTCAGTTGACTCAGTCTGTTCGTCTGCTTCTAAAAGTTCTAAAAGTTAGTTGTTAGTTTCTGATCAGAAAACTCGTTTTTACTTGTTCATTTCTGCTGCTTTAATCTGCAGTCACTGTTTCAACGGACCGTTGTTTTCATTAAGATAAACCTACAAACAACAGACTCGTTCTACCTGAAGCTTTACTTTCACTTTCGACGAAACATTCATTAGAAAAATGATCCTTGCAAAAAAGAAAAAAATAAGACTTGCCTCTCGGGCCTCTGTAATAATCAGACAAGAGATTAACTAATAACAACAAGCAGATAATGTGATGATGAGCAGATGAGACATGATAAACTAACCCCTGTAACAAGTGATGCTAATGAAGTGATGACATCATAGATCATATCTGTGCTGGAGAGACGTCACAGACCGACTCCAGGCTGCTGGAGTCACAGACTGATCCACTAACAGGAACGTCTCTGTGGCCAGGTGAGTCTCACAGATCCACTGTTGTACAGAGACTTAAAAACACGTCAGGGAGTCAAACTGAGGGACATGTTTCCTTTGTTATAATGAACACAGTCACCATAGTTTCCTCTCACTATGCCACAAAATGTGTTTTAATCCGCAGCTGAAAATAGTCCCCAACTAATACACTGTTAAGAACTACAGCACCCAGCTGTTTTAGCAAAAACAATCTAATTATATCCTTCAATCTTAAGATCTTTGTTTTCAATAGGAAAAGGTGAAATAATACTGTAAAGAAGAATTCAAAATATTGGTAAAATAAATTGTAACAGTAAAGATTTGTCTTTTTTTGGTTTGACATTATTAGATTACTTTTGTATTGCTGAGAAGTGGAAATGACACATTCAGTATTATATGATTATTTTTATTGTTATTATTATTATTATTATTATGAGCTGTAAATTTTGTTTTTGGAAAGTCAGAAATCTCAGCTCCTGATATACATTTACTTATAGTATTTGTTCTGTTCTGTGACTGTTGTGTTAAAGCAGCTTTATCCTTGTTACATCCTAAACTGAGGCCAGTCAATCATTGACTCAATCATCCAGCAGGAAACATCATGTGTCTGTTTCCACAGGTGCAGCTGGAGTCATGTGACGGATCAGATGATTAGTTTTTGTCTGAGTGTCATTACGTCTTCTCTCCTCTCCTCAGATGGATTTCCTGGTGACAGCCACGGTACACCTGAATGCTTTCCCAGATGAGTCAGAGGTGAGAGAAATCCTCAGGTCACATGACTTTGTGACAACAGACCTGAGCAGAGATCAGCTGCGAGTCGAAGGTTCGTTTTTGGGGCTCAAAGCTGTGAAAGTTCGTTTGGAGCGAAGTCTTAATTCCTCCTCAGCTGTTTCCAGACACTACAGCAGCAGCTCCGGAGCCCCCCCCCCCCTCACCCGTCACCTCCATGATCCCGCCTCTCCAGAGTCCAGAGCTTCTTCTTCAGGATCAGACCAGCGGCCTTCAGTCAGACGTGGAAGAGAGTCCTTTGTGGTTGATGCAGATGTGTTCAGGTACGCATGGCAGCTCAGGAGAAAAGACATTGACATCATCCTGGAGAACCATAACGTCAGAGTAGAAGTGATTGAAGTTGGTGATAGTAACAACATCTCTCTACTGGGGAGGAGTACGAAGACAGCCGCCAGTAAACTCCAGAGCCTGTTGAACGATCTCAGCCAATCACTGCGCACCCAGGAAGTTCCTCTGCAAGACATGGATCCTGGAGGAATAGCTCTGTTAGAGAGAATCCACAAAAACAAACACATTCACAACTCAGTGCTTGTGTGTGAGACGGGCCACGGACTTCACCTCATTGGGCCGTCTGCAAAGAGCTACCAGTTAAAGCAGGAGCTGCTGGGGAGGCCGGTCGACCAATCAGGACGCACAGGGAGGACGTTCCAGAAGAACCCCAAGAGGAGGAGCAACTCCCTGCCGCCGACCAACCGGAAGATCACAGAGAGAGACGGTGGTGACATCACTAATTCACCTGCTGCCGGAGCTGTAGGGTACACCCCCCCGAAGCCTGGTGGAGGTACGGGTTACTCCCCCTCAAAGTACCAGGATGATAAACAGGAAGCTGCTGAGCGTGGAGCTGGAGCTCGTCCTGGTCAAAGTTCGTCTTTAAGGAGAAGAAGTCGCTCCGAGACCCGTCAGAACACCTGGGCAGGAAAGGTGAACAGCTTCACACAAGAGACAGAAAACAAAGGCAAAGCCTCTAAATCACTAAAAAAGCCCTTATTAAACTTTAATCCAAAAGATATAAAACAAAGGATTAGAAATTGGAGAAAATGAAGAATGAGCAGTGAATCCTTCATGACAGCAGACGGAGACTTTGACCATGTTTACCTGTTACTTTCTTATTGAGCAGCCTGATGTGTTTGACCTGCAGGTACATGGTGTCTGACTGATGCTGGATTTATTAAGGTCAATATCAAAAACATTATTAGAGCATTAAACTTTGACCTTTGATCACATTATGGATCAGATGTCATTTTCCTCTCTTCATCTCTCTCTTTGTTGTCAGGTGGAGTATGTTGGTCTGTGATGACGACCTCCACCTCAAATACATATTGGACATTTCAGCAGTAAAAGTTTTTCATTGTGTCTTTGAGAAGCTTCTCCTTCGTACAAACAGCTGTTTGAAATGATTGTTGTTGGAGTGTAAACCTGACCTGGTCTGTCACCTCCATGACACTGATGTCTCTGTTATTAGTCTCTGTTAAACTGGAACATTCATGAAACACGTTCACACAACTGTGTTTCATTCTTATTATTAGTTAGTCAGTTAGTCAGTTAGTTAATTAGTTAGTCAGTCAGTTAGTTAGTCAGTCAGTTGTTCAGTTAGTTAATTAGTTAGTCAGTTGGTCAGTTAGTTAATTAGTTAGTCAGTCAGTTAGTTAGTCAGTTAATTAGTCATCATCTGTTCACTGAATGAAGAGAATGGGGGAAAAGAGTCAGTTCTGAATCATTTACACAAATTATCATGAAAACAACAACAATAACAATAAATGATTGTGTGTGATTAAAAGGCTGTAACCGTTAATTAAATATGATAATGAGATGTTTAATGTTTCATCTCCAGGTGTTTGTGCTCTAACACGATTACACTGTTGTCAGTGAGAACTTCTGTTAATGTAACACCTGACTGACTGACTGACTGACTGACTGACTGACTGACTGACTGACTGACTGACTGACTGACTGACTGTAACGCCTGAATGTAACACCTAGATGGAGACAGACACAGAGAGAGGCGGTGTGTGAACAGGAAGTGACAGTGACATCAGACCTGATGATGACAGGAAGTGATGGAGGCTGATCTGACGGGCAGCTGCAGTATCACAGCTGGGTGTTTGACTGTAGATGAGGAGGTAGGTGTTCATGCAGTCTGATGTAAAGTCCCTTTACTCATCGTTTTCCAGTCAGTTCTTGTCTCATGACAGAATGAAAACAGGTTTCCCCTTTTACACTCAGTTTGTTTTTGTCTGTTTTTCCTCAGAGCTTCACATTAAATCTAATGGACAGACAGAGACAACTGACTGAAATGTGTGTTGAGTTGAAATCGTAGTTTGACAAAACAAAGCTAACTAAATGTACCAGCGGAGCTTTCACCTTTGTCATATGGACTTCAGAGATCACATGTCAGGGGCAGAGATCACAACACTGTCAGTTAAAAGCAGAATGATCTTCCTGATGAGACTCCAGTAAGAAACATGTTGTAATTAGTGTGAACTACTCCTTTAAATTTGGAGAGAAATCAGTGACAGTGAGGGTTTCATCCTGAAAGTGACTTCCTGTATTTAAATAAACCTTTTTAAGGTTTTCATACAGAGCAGTTGCTCATCCTCAGATTCTATTCATGGAAGAGATGATACAGATGTGGATGGGAGAAAACAACCATGTGAGTCATGTATTTGGAAAGAAAAGCTCTCACTGCTGAGACATGTTGGACAGCTGCCAGCGGCTGATGATGAAGGACAGACGGTCAAGCTCGTCAGTTCATGCTTCTTGTCTTTAGAAGAGAAATCTACAGACGTACAGCCAGAAAAGGTTTAAGTATCTGGAGCTGAGACTCTACGGGTTCATCAGTGATAGTAAAGGCTTTTAGCATCTTCATGTTTTCTCAACAATGTGACAGATTAGGCAAATTAGAAGGAGATTAGTCAAATGAGGAGGATGTGACAGAAAATGGTTAAATGTTCTGCATTATGAGCAACAAAGGAAACTTGGGGAAAGTTGATTTTGTTCTTTGTTATTCAGAGTTTTGGTTTCTCTTTCTCCTTTGAGCCAATTATGAAACTATTGGAAACCAGATTCAGTGGGTGTGATTGCAAATGAGCAAAAACTTAGATACCATTGGAGTCATGCCACGTTTATGTCGTATTGTATAGAACATAATGAGCTGTTGAGTTGGGAAACCCGTCAGTGTTATTGAATTGTAGCTGAAACTAAAAACCAGTAAAACATATAACAATAACTTAACACTTACTTAAAATGCTACAGTTTTGATTTGATTTTGATTTGGTCATTTTATTTCGAATCGGAGAAAGAAAGAAAAAAAACCAAAACCAAAAACAAACATAAAACAAGAAAGCACAATGGTCTCACTGAAAACAGTGAATTTACACCTAACAGAAAAATAAATCATACAGTGCCTAGCATGTGGCTACATTAACATTTCACAAAGCACCTGTAATAAAAGAGAACCTACAGATAATGTTCCAGCAAGAGCATCTGAAGATCAGATAAAAGATCCCTGTCAATATTTGCTCGTACACGCAGATCTGACGTCAGTGAAATTGTAACTGCTGGTTGCTATAGCAACAGAATGTTCAACTGAAAACAGTTTCAAAAGGATATTTCTGTAATGTTGGTGCAGACAGATCAGTCTGATGTTAGTCAGACTGTTTCACTAATAAAGACTGACAAAACATTAGACACCTTACACCCAGGTGAACTCAGTCCTAAGACTAATGTTACCATGGTAACAATGACACTTGTGCTGACCAACAGCACCCAACAACAAGAAAAAGGAAAACATGGCCCATAATTTGTGGTTAGCTAACACTGTTATGGAGAGAGCAAAGAGAAGAAGAGAAGAGATTGTTTCACTCTTCATACACTCTTGTAACTGTTGAATTCTTCCTGTAGTCAAACATTTTCTGCTGAGGGTAAATGGAGTGAGTGATTGGTTGGCCTTTTTTTTCTTTTTTTAAGTCTAAATTTACCCAGAATTCATTGTACCACAGTCTGGTTTAAGATATTCAAGAGCTAAACTGTTTGTTTGAGTTGTTGAATTCAGACTCAGTCTGTCTGAAGTCTGGCTGTTTGTTCTTTGTGGTTAGCTAACACTGTTATGGAGAGAGCAAAGAGAAGAAGAGAAGAGATTGTTTCACTCTTCATACACTCTTGTAACTGTTGAATTCTTCCTGTAGTCAAACATTTTCTGCTGAGGGTAAATGGAGTGAGTGATTGGTTGGCCTTTTTTTTCTTTTTTTAAGTCTAAATTTACCCAGAATTCATTGTACCACAGTCTGGTTTAAGATATTCAAGAGCTAAACTGTTTGTTTGAGTTGTTGAATTCAGACTCAGTCTGTCTGAAGTCTGGCTGTTTGTTCTCTCTTAGACACAGTCAGAAACCGGCCCCTGATGTCAGTTACATTGTAACAGCTGTGGAACTTTCAGCAGTGGTTGCTATAGCAACAGAGTGTTCAACTGAACATCTGCTGCTCTCAGAATTTAAAAGCTGCAGCTTGAGCACCAGTGGTTCCCCGTCTGTTTTAATAAGAAGTGATGTCGACCTTTGACCCTTAATCACAGGATTACATAACTGTTATAATAACTAATAATATTCTCATGACTCAGGGAAGTCAGGAACCAAAAATCTGAAAAAGAGATGGATGAAAAGTTCTTGTAAAACTTCCTGATTTCAAGAAAAAGCCCAAGTGGAAAGAAGCTGTCAGTACACTGTCTGAACTGTATCACACACCTACAGTTACATGTGTCTTACATGGTCAGTTCTGTTAAACCTTTTGGCTTTTCAAGTTGCAGCTCGGCACAGCTGTGAGTTGGGAACCCCTGCTTTAGAGAAAACCCTCAGGGACACGTTGTGCTGCCAATGCCAAGTTAAGAAAGGAAATGCCATGATCCTTCCCAGGAGATAAAGGCCATTTTCTACCCTCAAATTTGCAAGGTTAACTGCTCTTGTCTGGCAGAATGTCAGATGTGGGTTCCTGTGTCTGGGAAGAAGAGATACACAAAATTCACACAAAAGTCAAGGCTGAAAAGCAGAAGCCTGAGGTCCTGTAGAGAGAGTCAGACTCTGTGTAGTGGCAGTTTAGAAACTTGGACTTGTGGCAGGAAGAGAGAGACAGAAGAGGATGCAGAAGTGTTGTGTGCTTTTAAAGATAGCCTCCTGCTATTTATGTAGGTTTGCGTGAGGGCGCAGGCTGACTGACAGGATGACGTGCTGTAGCTTGTAGACCACAGCTCTGGGTGACTTGACTAAGCACACCCTTGAATCCACCAGAGGACACGCCACGCCCACAGCAGCACCAGAAGTCGACCATACTTCTCTTTCTTCTTCCTTGAACCGCTCTCTGTTCCTCTGCGTCTTGTTCGTCTCTTATTTCTGTGTGTTAGGGTTAGCCACAGCAGACCGGCATGGCGGAGCTGGAGGGCCTGGAGTTTGGGAAGTCAGACTTCGTGCTCCTGGACGAGGTGACGATGGAGCAGTTTATGGAGAATCTGAAGTTGAGGTAAGGCCTGAGATACTGTTAGAGAGGAGGAAGGGAGGGGAAGAGGGTGGAGGCGTCTGGGTGTCAGAGATGAATAGAGTAGCTCTTCATACATACCTGATATATGAAGGACAACTTTATATTTCCTCATGTTTTTGTTTAGTTGACTGTAAAATAAATTCAAATAAGTGTGAATAAGAGATACAAGCAAATACCATCATGATATTCAGACTTTAAAACTTTCCTACACTAGAACTGAAATATGGAGTTGACTCATTGATGACTTGATGTTGAAGAGCCGGAGGCTGAGAGACATAAAGATGAGAGATAAAGGAAAAAGAGACATAACAAACATGAGTCTCTCCTACCTTGCCTTTCCCGCTCAGCCTCGGGGTTCAGATATAAACTTGTGGTTGATTTGATTTCATCGTCAAATTACACATGTAGAGCAAATGAAGCACATGGCCTAATGCCAACACATGAGCCAGTCTCACCTAACCCATGTCGAACTTTTGGTTGATTTATCTCATGTTGTGACTTTTCTTCTCTTGGATGTTATTGATCTGGAACTTTTCACTGGCCACTCGTCTCTGAGTCCAGACAGTGTCTTCTTGACCAGTCTCACTTCCTCAGCATCTTCTGTGAGGCGTCATGTCCTCAGTTCAAACTGAGAAATCACAGTTATGTCCAAGGATCAGCAGAGGCAGACAAACAACAAAATGTCAACCAATATCAAATAAGCTCTAGATTTAGAGGAAATCATTTACACTTTCTCAGCTGACGTGTGCACAGCAGATGGCCCTCACTTAACATTGTTCACACAGTTACTCTGGCTTGGCGTCTGTTTACCAAATAATGTATGCAGCTAGAGTTTCATCACACAGCCTGATCAGACTTGTCTGCTGCTTCAGTTGGTGCTGATATAATCCCACGTTCATGATTTGCTCTTCTTTTTCTACTGTGAGTTCAGTTCAGTGCGTTTGCATTTACTTTCCAGTTTTAGTCTGATGATCACGTCTCTGTCAGCTGGTTATCTTTAAAACTGATGTCCATGAAGTTTGGTTCACATAGAGACCTTAGGGTAAGGAACAACAGATTTAATGTTGGTGGTTGAAGTATATATGTATAAAACTACCATTGATCAACACTGTATACCAAATCTGAATATGTTCATGGACAAGACATAAACGTATGTGATACAGCAGGTGTAACAGTGAGTTTCCAGGTGAGGACGGCACAATCAGACTTAGTGTTACTAGGCCTGATAATTATAGTGTTTGGTCAGTCAGTTCAGTATATTACCAGGAAGGACACTGAGGTCACTTCTCTATTTTTTACCCACTCAGAGGAAACCTCACAATTATTGTGGCAGAGCAGTGTTTCTACTTTCAGAGGCGATTTCAACCATTTGAAAAAGATTAAACTACCTTATCAGTGACTGATGCTGCCATAATCATCGATAACTGTATCTCGTATCTCTGTAACTTGTGGGTGGGATTTTTCTTGACACCGCCCACACATCAAACTGAACTCCCAAATGAGTCTGACTTACTTCAGACCAAAACTTATGTTGGATAGGTTTTGGTCTGGATCAGGATCTAAATGACCAATTAAGTGTACGTTAAAGTGGGAATTTAGAATAAGTTCACTGTGCATGTGGCAGACAAAGTACTCAGTACTTTTACTTTAGTAAAATGTAAAAGTAGTAATCTGTTGTAATTAAGTCTTATAGTATATTCAAGATTTTTTTTATATATATTCAAAATTTAAGTAAAAGCACAATCAGAAAAATAAAACAAAAGTAACCAAAGTAAAACTACTCATGGGGGATAATGGTCCCTTTCTGAGGGTTATAATAATTTATATGTGATACTGTTAATATTATTACTGATAAGCAGCATTGTAATGTTACAGCTGGTCAAGGTAGAGCTAATTTAAAGTACTTTATATACTGTTGGACTGTTTAATCTATAAAGATGCATAATTAATTGGTCATATGTTTTGTTTGTAAAATCTTAGTTTGATAAGTAACTAGTAACTTCAGCTTCCAGAAAAAGTAATGGAGTAAAAAGTACAATATTTTCTACAGTAAAGTAGTGGAGTAGCAGTATAAAGTTAAGTCAAGTATGAGTACATCAAAATTGTGCCTATTTTCCATCACTGCATATGACCATTAACTGATGGGGGTGGGGGTCACTTTTGGCGGGACCCCCACCAAAAGAGGTAAAAACAACAGTTCAGGGGCGATAAAACTCCTTCTCAGCTGTAATTGTACTGTCACATTATATTTCCCATGTTCATGCCTGGAAGAATCTTGTGATCTGACGTCAGACACCCCTAAAATGGACCGTACCATTTCTGAACCTTGACGTTAGACAGTGTCTCCATTGCATCACTCTCCTCAGTGGTTAGCATCCAGTGCAACAAGCAAATGAGACACTATAGGTAAATACAGATAGCTAACTATAGCTAACTAACTAACTAACTAACTATCAAGCTGGTTTAATACGCTTTGCTTTCTTTCCGTCCGAGTTTCTGAATTAGATTGTGTCAAGTACCGACGGATGAACGCTAATGTTACGTAGTTTCCAATTTTAGCCTCAAGTCACCGTTTAGCAAACTAATGTTAGCTAGCTGATAGCACGTCCGTTCATTTCCAGTGTCAGCTTGTCATTTCATTACCCATATAAATGTCATATATGATCTAATGTTATCAGACACTGGTGCTCAGTCATGGGCAGTGAGACAGTGGAGGATAAGTTGTTGTAAAGAGACGTTTTGACATTAATATAGAGTTTATTATTTCATGTCAGTAGTCTTTGTGTCTGTGGTGGGTTAGTTAGTCTTCTACCTTTTTAATATTAGCTTCTATATCAGACACCATCTTTGTTTTCACTCAGGAGTGGAGGAGTTTTTCCTCAGGCTCAGTAATTGTATTAGCAGTGGTTGGAAATAATTATGTACATTCACTCTAAGCAGCTACTGTATCCTCCCCCCTCCAAATTAATACACTGTGGTCAGATAATATTTCTTTAATGGGTTGAGAGAGATTGTTTGAAAACTCCAGTAAACAAAGGGATGATTTCAGATCCTGAGGTCTGTACTGAACGTGTCCTCAAAATTCAGACTAAAATAAGAAGACTGCATTTCTTAACTTAGCTCGCCTTGACCCAACCTTGTCCTGTTATGATGTATTAGACCTACATGTGTGCACGTTCAGCCTCTGAACTGGGACAGCAAGCCCAGTAGACACCTGTTGTTGAAGCTGACCTAACTGTTGCTCAGTCTCTAACACTGACTGCTTTGTTAAGCTCTATGCAACCAAAAAGTTCAGTAGCATTTTATTTAACAGCTCAATTGTCCCATGTGACATGACATTTTTACCCCTCCCAACTCAACTAAACCCACAAGAGGTTACACAAGGCTTTGACGCCCTTTGAACCACAAGTTTCATTTCCTGCTTTCAGAGTACACACACTTGTGTCACTTCCTGTCAGCTACATATGACATAGGTGCGTGATCTTTTATGGAACTTTTATCTTGATGGTTTTTTCATGGGTGGTGTGAAACTGTCATGGGAAACTGCTCTTTGCTCCCTTTAATTAGCAAGTGAATGAATTATAAATATGTAGAAGGCACGTGAGTGATATTTGCACATGTATGTGAAATTTGAACAACATCAGTTGTAATCCATCATGGTGTGGGATTGTGTCTTGTGTGCACAGGTTTGAGAAGGGTCGAATCTACACCTTCATCGGAGAAGTGGTCGTCTCTGTTAACCCTTACAGACAAATGGACATTTATGGCAAAGACAACATTGATGCGTACCGGGGCCGGGAGCTGTATGAAAACCCTCCTCACCTGTACGCAGTGTCTGATGCTGCCTACAAGGCCATGAAGAGAAGGGCCAAAGACACCTGCATCGTCATATCAGGTCAGCCTCGTTCACACTCTCTTCACTTCACCACATGAGCCATAGTCCTGCTAGGTGTGAGTTGCAAACATCAAATCGATAGTTTAGCAGGAATGTGTCACAGCTGGTGCTAAGAGTCAGGGGAAAGGACCAAATGCAGACAACAGAGAGGGAAATGTAGTTCAGAGATTTATCAAACAAAAAGTAGAGCAAAGGTTTTCGAGTTGAGGCGGTCTGGTCAAAAACTGGAGAACAAGTCCAATCAGGAGCTGAAAACCAAAATCCAACAAAAAGCAAAATGTTGTAAAAGCAGATGAAACAAGCAAAACACTAAGAACATGCAGTAAAACAAACATCACACTCTGGTACTCAAAATATACGCTCAAGAACTGAATGGGAAAGAGAAACAGCACATGGTGGCAACTGTTGGATCTCTAATGTAAATATTAGAAAGAGTACGGTCCATACCAGCTCTATTCGAAAAGCTTCTGCTATGATTTGGCGGGAAAAATCCCAAAGACAAGAAGTAAAACCACACAACAGACACACAAGGTAAGTAATTATAAAACAAAACAGGAAATGCAACATAAAAAGTCCAAGTGTGAAATTACACAGGGGCAGATCGTGACAGAATAAAGGTCGTTAAATAGATTATTTGTTAGTTAAACTAGAGAAACTGAGATACACAAGTTACAGGAGACTGAAACTGTTTTCTCTGTATCTTTTACCTACTCACACAACTCTCATCTAATTGTTAAACTGTGTTTTGCAAATTAATAATTTTTTAATCATGTTTTTAGGAAAATGTTTTCCCTACCGTTAAATAGTAGTGAGGTGCTAACACTGATATAATCCAGTTAGACTTTCAATAGAGTTCCACAAGAGCTGTTACTAATGTTACTACTGATAAACCGAAACATAATTGATTTACTGATTTCACAAAAGACAAGAATTTATTCACATTTGAGAAACTGACATCTGAGAATTTTCACATATTTTGTTAAAAAATGACTCAAAATAATTAATCAATCATCATATTAGTTGATTATTTCTCTGTCGATTGATTGTGTCTGTGCTGATGCTGCTTGTAACTGTATTAATATTGTATTCATGTCTTTATGTTACTCCATAATCACACAGTACAGTATGCGTCTGCATCGTCAACAGAAGAATGGAGTTGTGTTCAGGTTCTCGTCGCTGCCACCTTCACTGTCTTCATGACAGACGTTGAGAAACATTGTGAAACACAGCTGCAGTTATCTTTTCATCAGAGTTGTGAAATTGTTGTGTGTTGTTGTCACTTCAGGAGAAAGTGGAGCAGGAAAAACAGAAGCCAGTAAATACATCATGCAGTATATCGCAGCCATCACAAACCCAAGCCAGAGGGCGGAGGTGGAGAGGTGAGAGGTGCTATGATCTGAAGGTTAAGATTAATTATTGATCGTTTATTTACGAGTAATATGAACTAATGTAGGATCCGTTAAGACAGAACTATAAACTGAAATGTCGAGTCTGCTGGGTTTTATTCTCCAACACAAATAAATAATTGGATCATGAGAATTTGATGTTGCCATAAATCATCTCACTCTCCTCTTCTCCTCTGACTCCTTCTTCCCTCCTCATCCTCACCTCCCTCCTGGCTGTTTCTCACATGTTTCCATCGACACTGTGATGAATCAGTGTGAAAAATGTGCTGCTCAAGTCCAACTGTGTGCTGGAGGCCTTCGGGAACGCCAAGACAAACCGCAACGACAACTCCAGCCGCTTCGGCAAGTACATGGACATCAACTTCAACTTCAACGGCGACCCCACTGGAGGACACATCAACAACTACCTGCTGGAGAAGGTGAGGGGGGGTGGGCAGGATGATGGAGACCTTCACAGTCAACACAAACACAGGAGTTACGTTCTGGGACACAATGAGCTCACCTCCGCAGAGAAGGTCTGCTCGTTTAGTTTTTGTTAATAACATCTTTTCTCCTGAACATGAATGTTTCATGAGGTGATGACAAAGAGGTGTGAGGGAACATCCATGAATAGATGTGTCTGTGAAGTCGGCGCTGTGTGTTAATGAATGGCTCACCTGGGGGGACTCGATGCTGCTGCATTTATTCGCTGTGTTAAAGAACTGTCTGGCACTCAGAGTCGGTGTGAAGGATGGTGGAGCCATGATTCACTCTCAGAGGGCAGAAATAACCTCGCTGTCTCCAAGCTGTTTCTCCTGGAAACAGGAAAGATCGAAGCGTTTGTGTTGAGGGAAAAAAACAAGTGAAGTACAGACGTGCCGCTGGAAAAGGAGCCGGTGATAACTGTCCATTGGTTGCAGATGTTTCTTGGTGCTGTGTCTTTGTCTGCGTGATGTCACGTTCATATTTCTCAGCTGCAGCTCTGGTGGAGATGGGAAACATTTTCATCTGTTTAAAACACCAACAACACACAGACCAACCCAACATGACATGTCTCAGGCAGGTGTTGGGTCACAACAGCTTCGCTGCACCTCGGCATGTCTGATCGAGGGGTCTGGGGCCGGCTGCACAAAACACCTGAAGTTAAGATTTTCCTTAAAGCTTGAGTGAAGATTTCCTTAAAATGTTCACTTAAGTGTTTAAGGTTTTGTCCTTATCTTAGTCTTGTACTTCAGGAATCACTTAAAGTCGGTTAAACTGTTGCTCTAAACACATTCTCCTCAAAACATCTGGAGGATGAGGTCACAGGTATCACAAGTGCTAATAGCAACAAATCAACAGTCTCCATGGAAACAGTAGGATTTCACTGCTGTAAATGCCTCCACATTTTTCCTTAACAAAGGAAACTGTTTAAGAGATTCTCTGCAACACCCTTAAGTAACTCCCTCAGCTGAGGAGAAATTAAACCTTAAGTGTCGGACTTTGGTAGAAAACTGAAGGTGTTTTTTGCAGCCGGCCTCAGACCTCCTCAGATCTCTGTGGACGAAGCTTGTCGTCCTGTTTCTCTTCTTCTTCTTCAGGCTTTTATTTTATCTCGTACCAAAGCTCAGAAAGCTCAGGGACATTTCTGTGGTTGACACGTGAAGGAGACGGTCGAGTTTCTTTCACTTTTTATTTAAGACCTGTTTGGAGCGCTGTTATTTGTCTTCTGTTGCCACAGAACATCACGTGAATGACTGATCACATCTATTCAGTTATTTAACTTAATACAAATGAGTTTTCTTGTTTTCGTAGAGGCTGATTTTCTCCGCCTCCTGTGTGTTGCTTTGAGTCAAGCTAACACTTTTCAACAAACACCACTTCACCTTCAAAAAGAACTGGAACCTATAATAATAATTATCGTATTTATTAACAGTGTCAGAGTGTCTGAGGATGGATGTTTGATTAGTATCTGTCCTCCTGTTTAAGTCCAGGGTGGTCCAGCAGCAGGACGGGGAGAGGAACTTCCACTCGTTTTACCAGGTAAAGTCTCGTCTGTGCTTCTGCTACAAAACATACGACAACGATGTTTCACTAACTGCTCACTCAACTCATTGAACTCCATTCAGTGGTATTGTTCGGTAACTGGTGTGTGTGTTGTGTTTGTGTAGTTACTGCGTGGAGGCTCAGAGGAAACACTGCAGTCATTTCACCTGCACAATGATCCTGCTGAGTATGTGTACACCAGAGAGGGAGCTGCAACAACCGTGAGTTCATCACCTGCGTCAGAGGAAGATAATAAAGAACCTCAGGTGGTTTTTCTCTCTCTGATCCTTTTCTTATAAACTCTTTCTTCAGACGTCCAACAACGACCGGTCGAGCCACAGAGCCGTGATGAGCGCGCTGGAAGTGATCGGCTTCTCCAAAGAGGAGATTACCTCCATTTATCAGATCCTCGCCTCCATTCTGCTGCTGGTAACGTACAGAATATACGGTTTGTTAAAGTAGAAGACCATTAAAATTATAGTATAAGAATTATAAATAAATATAGGTAAAGAATATTTTTACCATCATAATGTCTTGAGCTCAGGTTTCTATAATGAAGTGCGTTGGTCTGTTTCCAGGGTAACGTGCAGTTTGAGAGCGATGGTGAGAGTGTTCAGATCGTGGGACTGGAGGCCGTGAACCACATCTCTGAGCTGACGGCCACAGACCCGGAGAGCGTCAGTAAGACGCTGCTGTACCGCACTGTGGCCACCGGGGGCGGCGAGGTGATCGAGAAGGGCCACACAGAGCAGCAGGCCTGCTTCGGACGGGACGCCTTCGCCAAGGTGCTGATTCCTGGTTCTGCTGGGTTACTGTCACTCTGAGATGTGTGGTTTATACAGATGAATCGTTTTTCAGCGGGTGATGATGATGTTAACATCGTCATGGTAACATGTTTGTCTGATTTTCACACTTGTCACATTATCATTCCTACGCGCCGGCGACAGTCAGAGCCGTCCGTCTCTTTCTCGTGGACGTGATGTCTCAGTAACGCCTTGAAGGAACAAACAGTCACCTGGACTCAAGGATTAACTGCTTAGATTGTCGGGGTCAAAGGTCAAGGTCACAGGGACCTCACAAAACATGATTTTGGCCTCGTGAACGTAACATCTGGAGAACTCCTCAAGGGAATCCCTTCACATTTGGCACATGCACCTAGACTCAATGATGGACTGAATAGATTTTGGTGGCTAAAGGTCAAAGGTCAGTGTGACCTCACAAAACACTTTTTAGCCGTTACTCAAGACTTCACAGCAACTATGACGAAAATTTCACACACACGTTTCACTTTTCTCTGACTCTGGATGAACAGGAAGTGACCTGGAACTAGTGTGAGTGGCGGAGGGATACGACCCCGAGCAGGTGACTCTAGTTTTAATTTATTAAACACTCTCTCTCTTCTCGCCGCAGGCTCTGTATGAAAGACTCTTCGGCTGGATCGTTGGCCGCATCAACAGTGTCATCGAAGTGAAAGACTACAACCCAGTGCTTCATGGGAAAAACACCGTCATCGGCGTGCTGGATATCTACGGCTTTGAGATCTTTGATAACAACAGGTCTTGTGAAATGTCCTGAGTTTCTTTTTTCTAATGAAGTGACGTCAGTCACTGTCGGCGATATTGCTCAACTGTTGTGTTCCTCTGCTGTCGGACAGTTTCGAACAGTTCTGCATCAACTACTGCAACGAGAAGCTGCAGCAGCTTTTCATCGAGCTGATCCTCCGACAGGAACAAGGAGAATACCAGAGGGAGGGCATCACCTGGCAACATGTGAGAGACACACACAGACAGTGACACACCTGACGTCCAGGTTACAAACATGTTCATCTCTTTAACACAGTTTCAATAAGAACTGATGACGAGCAGCTTCGTGAAGGAGGATTTGTTGTAGAGTTGGTGTTCCTGATGAACTGCTGCCACAGTGTGTGAAGCACTATGATGTCATTTACCTGCACACCTTGTGATTGCACAACATGCACCTGGAACAGACCCCGACACACAGGACATGCACACACACACACACACACACACACACACACACACACACACACTCACACATACACTCACACACGGTAACCTGAGTAACCACCTGATTGATAAACATTGGCCCATTTCTCTGTGATGTCACAGATCGACTACTTCAACAACCAGATCATCGTCGACCTTGTGGAGCAGCCGCACAAGGGCATCATCTCCATCCTGGACGAGGCCTGCCTCACTGTGGGTAACGTCACTGACACCGTCTGCCTGGACAGCATGGACACCAAACTGGCCCAGCACCCCCACTACACCTCCCGCAAGGTGAGGACAGATGACATCATCGTCTGTCAGCTTAATGTCTCCTCATATGACTCTGTTGTTCCCAGTGAAGCTCAATCTCTCTCAGTAGCTTGAAGGCTGGAGAACTCGTCCTCCTTCACTCCTACGCTTTGATTCATAAAGTGGCGGTCAAGGATGAACTGATTAGATTTTGGTGGTCAAAGGTCAAAGGTCAAGGTCACGATGATCTCATGTTTTTGTGAATGCGATATATCAGGAACGCCCAGAGAGAATTTCATCACAGATTCATTCACTAGTTATGACACAGTTTAACTCAAATCTGTAAAAGGATAAATTGACAGTTTATATCCTGAAGGTCAAAGGTCAACTTCCCTGTGACATCATAATGTCCTGTAAAGACACTTCTGGCCATTATTCAACACTAACGATGAATCTGCTGCTCATTAATAGAAACACTCCCTGCTGTCATTAACTGCTCAGCATGAAACTCAGAAGAAATGTTCAAGTATGAAAAAGGGATCGCTGCCTTCACTGAGTAGGAAGTGGTGATTGGCTGTTGACATATCCTCCTCACACTTGCAGTAACTCTCAAACACAAAATGAAGAAATCTCTTTTTCCGCCAGAACCACAGTTGTTAACGTTTGAGATCGATCTGTTAAAATCTCAAAGAAACTGTTCTGTACCTTTAAGTGGAGGAAGGTTGGATTGTGAATCATCACAAAATGAACCCGCTGGCAGAAATGAGACGTGCTGTTCAGAGGTGAACGACTAAAAACAAAGGCTTTCATTTTGATTAATGTGACTGGTGAAAATTTAAGCCTCTCTGTCCAACTTTGGCTTGACCACTAAAAATATATTTTTTGTGCCGATATAAAAAGATAAAGTCAAAAACATTTGTTCTCAGATGTCTTTCTGGTTTGATTTTGACTTATAATATACAATAAGAAGAAAAGCCTGGTCTTCCCTGCAGTGTGGAGGCTTCCTCTGACTCAGGTGCAGGTGTGTGTTGTTGTCAGTAGAGGGCAGAGTTTCTCCAGTGTTGTAAACGCAGCCTTCATGTCTTCCTCCTACAGCTGACATCTGCACCCTGTAAATGTTTGTCATTTACATTTAAAGAGATAAAAGTTGATAATTGTTGCTGTGACTCTCTGTGTCCCCTCCCTGTCTCCAGCTCAGCCCCACTGATAAAACCATGGAGTTTCAGAAACACTTCAGGATCCGTCACTATGCCGGAGACGTCACGTAAGTCGCTCTCACATTCACACACTTTGTCATTATCGTCTGAGCTGAAAAAGTGACAGGATGTTGTGCAGAGTTCAAAAGTGTAAACCTGTAATCCTCTGAAGAGGTCGGTGTGTGAGTCGCAGAGGAGCCCCAGTGATCTGCAGAGACAGATTACTGCTCACAACCAGTTGGAGATCTCAGTATTAATGGTTTTCTTTCCTTTAATGAGGTTTTGGTTTCATCACATTCTAATGAATGTGTGATGTATGATAACTGCAACAACAATCAATGTGTCACACACACACACTCACACACACACACTCACACACACACACACACACTCACACACACACTCACACACTCACACACTCACACACACACTCACACACACACTCACACACTCACACACTCACACACACACTCACACACACACTCACACACTCACACACTCACACACACACTCACACACACACACACACACTCACACACACACTCACAGAGGAGATGGAGGGTGACACCTTGAATCCCTCGGTCTATTTTCCGACAGGTGTCACAGATCGAGTGATCAGGATGTTTCACATGCATGAGATTGATTCATTTTCCTGCACGTGTTGGAAGAACAGCTCAGGTGGGACGTTTGGAAAGGAAAGACGTCTCAGGTGTAAATGTCAATTAAAATGAAAGATGTTTTCCTTAAAAACAGCGGCAGGATTCAGGTTTACCCCTTTCCCCCTTTTGATTGTAAATCACGATGATATTTATAAAGATCGTCTTGGTGAGTTTTGCCTGTGTGAGGTCGACACGTTACAGATACTGGACCAAGATGTCCTGAGCCTTTTATTATAAATCACATGTGCTGCTGTAAAATGGATATATATGAAAATACCTGTCAGTGCTTTTTTAGCTTTGATCTTATTCTGAAAATACAATATTATTTCAGTGGTGGTTTGGTTTGTGATTGACTGAGTAGAGATGAAACAGTTTGTGCTCCACTTCTCTGATGTGTTCACTGGATTTAACCGTGTCCAGATGAGGCCCCTGGCCAGCAGTCAGCAGTCACCCGCCGTGGCTTTGGTTTTCAGAAGATCCCTGGTGCTCACGTGTACTGCCCTCAATCTAGAGAGGGGAAGGACATTAATATGTCAAGGGAACACGGAGGAGGAGGAGGGGGATGCAGGGGGAGGGGGAGGAGGGATGGAGCCAGCTGATGAGACAGTTTTGGCTCAGTGAGATGTAGCAGCAGCAGTAATCAAGGAGAGCTGGAGGAGGGTTTACTGAGGGTCTTTGACTCAGGGAAACATGATGTCGAACACGCACCGAAACACCGAGCAATCTCATCCATGTTGGACGCTCCAGATCACAGGCGATCAATGCAACGTGTGTTTTCTCCTTAATCACCAACGAGCAGATCTCTCCTTCATCACCCAGCGAACGAGCCAACGCCACGCTGGTCCAATACTCCATTACAAGCTCTTTTAACCTTACCTTACCTTACCTTACCTTACCTTACCTTACCTGACCTGACCTGACCTGACCTTACCTTACCTTACCTTACCTTACCTTACCTGACCTTACCTTACCTTACCTTACCTGACCTTACCTTACCTGACCTTACCTTACCTGACCTTACCTTACCTTACCTGACCTTACCTTACCTTACCTTACCTGACCTTACCTTACCTTACCTTACCTGACCTTACCTTACCTTACCTTACCTGACCTGACCTGACCTGACCTTACCTTACCTGACCTTACCTTACCTTACCTTACCTGACCTTACCTTACCTGACCTTACCTTACCTGACCTGACCTGACCTGACCTGACCTGACCTTACCTTAAGGTTGTGTTGCAAAGTGTCACATCCCTTTTTTCACCAAATCTTTTAGTTTGAGTCTCCTGGTTTTAACGGTTGAACCGTTGAACTGAAACTCTGACATTTAACAGTGTGACCCTCAGACTCTGTCAGTGGCGTTTGCAATGAATCTTGGGACCAGGTAGGGAAAGAAGGACACATTTGAAGGCGGGCACAGAGACGAGTCTAAATGAATGATAATGTTGTTTCATGTGCTCGTGTGTGTGTGAGTGTGTGTGTGTGTGTGTGAGTGTGTGTGAGTGTGTGTGAGTGTGTGTGAGTGTGTGTGAGTGTGTGTGAGTGTGTGTGAGTGTGTGTGAGTGTGTGTGAGTGTGTGTGAGTGTGTGTGAGTGTGTGTGAGTGTGTGTGAGTGTGTGTGAGTGTGTGTGAGTGTGTGTGAGTGTGTGTGAGTGTGTGTGAGTGTGTGTGAGTGTGTGTGAGTGTGTGTGAGTGTGTGTGAGTGTGTGTGAGTGTGTGTGAGTGTGTGTGAGTGTGTGTGAGTGTGTGTGAGTGTGTGTGAGTGTGTGTGAGTGTGTGTGAGTGTGTGTGAGTGTGTGTGTGTGTGTGTGAGAGTGTGTGAGTGTGTGTGTGTGTCAGAGCTGCATTGGTAATGACAGATGATTGTCCCTGTCGCTGCGTGTCCCCGTCACCCGGCCTCGGCCCGTCTCTGGGCCACATCGGGGTCGCTCCAGCTGAGCTGTCACCCCCTGTACATCTCTTCCTGGTGGCGCTGGCCCCCCATCATCCCCTGTCCCATCCCATCCCAGTCTATCCTTACTGTGGCTAAATATACCCTCGCCCCCCCCTCCACTTTCACAGCTTTGACCTACTTCACTCCCTCCTCCTCTCTCTCTCTTCCCTCATCCTGTTTCCTCTCTCTCTCCTCCCTCTGTTCTGCCTCCCTCACCTGACTCATTTTAAATTCCCTGCAGTCTTCCAGCTGCACATGCAGCACTTTGAGCAGCCACCACATATATCACCTTTGCTTACTGCACAACTTTATATCCCAGAGATCTCTGAGCTCCTCCCCTCCACCACCCTCGGCCTGCACCTAGATATACTGTCCTCTGGAGCTCTGCTGTCTTTGTCTCTGCGTGTCCTCTCCTGTCTGTCCTGTACTTGTGTATGAGTGTTGTTGTTGTGTGCCCTGATTGCTCTCTCTCATCCTTTCACACTCTGTCTCCCTTCGGCGAGCTTCCCAGAATCTGGTCAGGTGGTCTTGGCGCCCGTGAGCCAAGGGGACACATCTGTCACAGCCAGCCTCTCTTCTCTGCCTCCAGATGTGACAGCCGAGGACACGGTCACAGACAGGGCCACGCAGACCACATGTGACATGCTCTGTGTGTGTGTGTTTTTACATTGGGATGTGTGTTTGCCACAGAGGGGGGGGGGGGTAGTCGGAGCTACTGCCGTGGTGGAAAGTAACAAAGTGCTTTTGATCAATTAACTAATTAATTAATCCGCTCCTGTACGTCAGGAAAGTCTGGAGGTTTCCTTTGACTTTTACACAGACTGTAAATACAAAAACTGGTCTCTGAATACATTCCACCTCTGTACGATACAAGAAGACACATCGCACATCTGTTCAGGGCGGCGGGTGTGTAGGAGCAGGATGATCACACTGTCTCACTTTAATAAACAACTTATTCATGATGTTCATCAGGCTAAAGGAGCCATCTTATACAGGATCAGCTGTAACCCAGCAACCAACCACCTCAGCCCGGGAACAGTACAGAATAGAAATATACAGACATCAGTTCACTGTGAAACAGTTCCGTTATATAATAATTAATATTAAAATATTAAAAAGACAAATTAATCTCACGTAAAGACATCGGCAATGTGTCTTTTTAATAAATGTTTACATTTTCCATTTTACAACATTTCTCTAAAAAGCAAAGATTAGAGAAAAGTGTAAACAAAATAAAATATATATTCCTGTAGCTGAATCAGGTTTTTCTTCTCACAGCCCCCAACATTTATCTCGTGACACGTTGATGGGGCTGGAACCACAGGTTGGGAACCACCTGACTAAAACAGCTGTATATAAAGTAAAACTAGCTTCAGCTCCAGCAGGTACAGAATGACCTGTCAAACACTGTTGTATATAATAATACCTAATAATATATGATCATATACAATAATAATGAATAATATATAATAATATGTGACAATATATGACAGACAGTTGAGTGAATTCTTTTATTTGTAATATTTGTTTAATATTTGATCCTTTGTTCCCGCTGCCATCAGGCTAAACAACTCCTCAGCCAGTGCAAGTGGACTAATCTAATTATTATTGTTTATTTATTATTATTATTATTATTATTATTATCAACAATGAGCTAATGGACACATGAATTACTATCTATCTATCTATCTATCTATCTATCTATCTATCTATCTATCTATCTATCTATCTATCTATCTATCTGTCTGTCTGTCTGTCTGTCTGTCTGTCTGTCTGTCTGTCTGTCTGTCTGTCTGTCTGTCTGATGTACAGTTGATGAAGACTCAGTTCTCAGCAGGTTTTAGAGGCAGGACTTTGTGGTTCTTACCTCAGTGAGAGGGGGTGTGGTTTAATATGCTCAGTTTGTGTTTCTATAAACAGGAAGTAGATTCAGAGTTAGTGCTCACCCTGCAGCAGCCTGATGTAGCTGAGCCTCACTGACCTCCAGCTGGTGGACCAGCAGGTCACACCCAGCCCCCCCAACCCCCCCACTGTCTCTGTCTCACTCCGCCCCCCACTGTCTCTGTGTCTTGCAGATATTCTGTGGAGGGTTTCTTGGACAAGAACAAGGACCTTCTCTTCCAGGATTTCAAGCGGCTCATGTTCAACAGGTAGAAGAGACACAGTCGTCACTGACACTCAGGAACTGGGTTAACTGTATGAAACACTTTCCTCTTGCTGACCTAGTTAACAGCATCCTCTCTCTCTCTCTCTCTCGTAGTGCTGACCCAGTCCTGAAGGAGATGTGGCCAGATGGTCAGCTGAGCATCACTGAGGTCACCAAACGACCTCTGACCGCCGCCACCCTCTTCAAGAACTCCATTGTGGCCTTGGTGGATAAACTGGCGTGCAAGGTCAGTTATTTTGGCTCATGATCGACTTCCTGTTCCCATCTCTTGAACTGAGGGGGAAGTGTAGGTGTCATCTTTAATTTCTCTTATTACCTAATGGTGACAGCAACAGCTGAGAAGGTCAAATTACTGTATGTAACGACGTAGATCTTCAAAGATGAAGATACTCCACTCTGTATTCACAGAACAGAACGGTGCCTGACATACGACCCCATACCCTTAGAAATAAATACAGATCTTTCTTAGAGGGAGGCGTTGATAGTCCATTCTAACAGAACAATATCGTTCTGTTAGCTTTCGTGTCCATTTCAACTCATTTGTCTCATAAAATAAACCTGATTTTAATTATTTATGGTCCAAAGCTCAAATGTTATTTTCTCAGTTTGCCCGAGTATGAAGTTTCTCTTTTGTCTCTGTCGGACAGCGTGTGTGTCAGATTGAATGTATTTGAGTGTGTTTGTGTCAGTAGGTCTTAGCTCAGCGTCCTCTGCTGTGACCAACAGGGCGGCGCTCTGCACCAGAGGAAACCTGCATGACACTTCGTCACTGCGCATCAAACTAGAGAGCTCTCATGGTGTCAGAGAGGAACACTTTCTGTAGGAGGAGGGAGGAGGGAGGAGGAAGGAGGAGGAGGGAGGAGGAGGAGGGAGGAGGAGGAGGGAGGAGGAGGAGGGAGGAGGAGGAAGGAGGAGGAGGGAGGAGGAGGAGGGAGGAGGAGGATGAGGGGGGAGGAGCTGGTAGTAAACCACAGGATGAGCTGCTAACCTCTCCTGGCCTCATCTCACTGACTGAAGTCTGACATTTCCTGCTGTTATGTTGGGATGGCCCGCTGTCGGCCCGCTGTCGGCCCGCTGCTGTAGCGTCTGGTCTCGGTGTGACTGAAGTAAAATGAAGGAAACTCCCCTGGCAGCTGTTTCTCTTCCTTCAGGTCACATTGTGTTTCTCGGCTGCTCTTCAGGAGCACCTGGGCCCAGTCTTCCCGCCTCATTTATCCCCGCCTCCATTTACCGACTCGCTTCTCAAATCTCTGCTGAACCGAGTTGAAACTCGGGGCACACATGCGCATGCATCATTGGTATGACGGACGACCTCAGAAAGTGCTCACTTTGTTCCGCCGTGTTCATCTTCGGTGGACGGAGAGTGAGAGACAGGAACAGTTGGGATCAGTGTGAAGGTGTGCTGACGTACAGGATGTGTTGTGAGGCTCAGCTGCTCACAAATATTCTGAATCTGATTAAGGTCACTGAACTCAAACACACTGATAAAAACATGAGGAAGTTTGTCCTGATGATGTCATGAAAAAATATGTCCTCAAACATAAAATCCTGAATTAAAGTGAAAAACATAAAACTTTCACTGTATTCACGTGTAATATTAGACTCAAATACAGTGAATACACCTGCGAGCTAATAACATGTTTTCTGATGTTGAAATATTCCTCCATTACTCTTGATATTTGCTTTTCATGAAACAAGCTCCAGTAAAGCATGAAGACATGTCTTTATTCAAATTCAGTTACCAACCTCTTTACTGTAATTCTTCATTCATTTTGCAACTGTGTTTGTTTTCATTGACAATCAATCAGTTATTTTCCTCATTAGTCGATCAATAGTTTCGTCTGTAAATGTCAGAAAATAGTGAAAAATATAGTCAAGTCATTAAATTTGAATTTGAATCTTCATCCAGACCATGTCACATGCTCTTTCTACTAAACACAGATATGTGATCAGCTGATATCAGCTCATTTTAACATGTATGAAGACGCGTATAAAGATCAATGTCGGCGCTGCAGGTGTGTTCAGAAGTCTGACTCCTGTCATCGGGAGCATCATCACGGCTCAGTGGAGGCCGGCACAGAGTCACTGTGGGGTTATGATCAGCTGTCGCTCTGTCTTCCAGGAGCCGTACTACGTGAGATGCATCAAACCCAACGAGATGAAGTCTCCGGTGCTGTTTGACGACGCCCGCTGTCAGCACCAGGTGGCCTACCTCGGCCTGCTGGAGAACGTGATGGTGCGCAGAGCGGGCTTCGCCTACAGGCAGCCCTACGCTCGCTTCCTGCAGCGGTAAGACGCCGACCCTGAGTGAAGACTTTCTCTCTGTAGTAAACTCCAGCCGCTCAGTTTCACACAGAGATACTTTAAATTACTAAAGCAGATGTTTACATCATCTTACCCACGATGCAGTTGGAGAAGTGAACAAGTGTAACAGTGGAGAACAATGTTGCGTGTGATCTTTTCTGTCCGACTGGGAGAACGGAAACAACAAACTAGATCCTTTTCGTTGGTAAAAGAAAATTTACAAATGAAGTGAAACCAGATTCTTCCCTCGAGTTGTTTTCAGATTAAAGCTGAAGAAGAAGAAAATGTGATTGTAAAAGAAAATGAATGCAGACAAGCAGGAAGTCCTTAATATGGGTCAAGCTCCAAAAACACATGAGCCGACACTTCTCATACTCTCCTGTCCCATGAGAGACATGAGACAGCTGCTGCTGTGATTAACACAGTGATTGTGTGTAAACGAGCTCCTTTAAATACAAGCAGTGACTTTTACAGAGACGACAAGAGTGATTTTAGGATCTGTTCCTTCCATAGATGAAGGTAGAGAAACCGATCACACTGATTTCTCCTCCTGTTCTGCAGGTATAAAATGACGTGCGAGTACACCTGGCCGAACCACCTGATGGCCTCAGACCGGGAGGCCGTGGAGGCTATCGTCACCCAGCACGGTTTCCAGGACGACGTGGCGTACGGTCACACCAAGCTGTTTGTCCGAACGCCACGATCTCTCTTCACCCTGGAGCAGGAGAGAGCAGCGCTCATCCCCATCCTGGTGCTGTTCCTGCAGAAGGTCGGCCATGTTCGAACCCGGACCATCAGTTTAGTTTTCACCTACAGCTCCGGCAAAGTCGGATCTCCACAGCGGTTTTAAAGCCCTGCCTGTGTTTTAATGAGGATGTATTGATCTGACGGTCTAATTAACTGACACAGACCTAATGTAATGTCACGGGCTGCTCCGTCATGTGATTACGGTTAATCATTCTCAGCGTTATCGTCTCCAGTTTCTGGGTTTTGCCTCAGCCTCATGAATATGTGGCTCCTGGTTACGCTCGGCTGAAATTCATCTGCCAGCTTGAATCCTAATTTCCTGGAACAATAATTGGGAGAATTAATGAGATCCAGAGTACAGTTACATTAAAGTCAATTACTTTGCTTGCTCCATGAATTAGCCTTCTCCTTTCTCTGTTCCTGACCTACTTTGAAGCTGCGCAGAGAAGCTTCTTAAACTGGAGCAGGAGTGTGTCTTCATCTCTCCTGTCTCTAACTCGTCCCTCTGTGTGTGAAACTCACAGGTATGGCGTGGGGCTTTAGCTCGTATGAGGTGCCAGCGGATGAGGGCCATCTACGCCATCATGGGCTGCTACAAGCGCTACAAGGTCAAGGCTCATTTCTGGGAGGTGGAGCGGAGGTTCGCTAACGTGAGAACGATGGCCGACTACGGAAAGAGCGTGGAGTGGCCGACCCCCCCCGCAGCTCTGTCCCAGTTTCACAACAACACAGTCATGCTGCATCGCAGGTCAGAACACACTGATTACACCTCATACACTGAGGTAATTCACTCTAATATGAAGATCTCAAACAATAACTTCATTTATATCGAGTTACAAAGTGCTGCACAAACATAGAAACTAAAAGCAGTAAAAGACACAGAGGCAAGTGTAACAGGGAGAATTACAAATACAAAAAAACAATGAAATCAATAAAATAGACAAAAGAGAATAAAAGCAAAGATAAAAGCATTGAAATCAAGAATTAAAAGTGTTTGTGTTGAGCTCTTTAATACGTTCTCAACAACATCGTGAAAGAGTCTTTGTGTGACGTCGTGACTTTAACATGAAGCTTTAACTGAACTGCACCTCTCGTGTTACTCCACGCTGTCTTCTTCTTCTCTTGTTGTCAGGTGGTGGGCGAGGCAGATCGTGAAGAACATCCCTCCGTCTGACATGTTGGAGGTTCGGGCCAAAGTGGCGGCTCTGACGGCTCTGAGCGGAGAGAGGAAAGACTGGGGCGTCAGCAGAGCCTGGGAGAGGGACTACCTGGCTAATGTGAGAGCCATGATTCAACACAACAACAACAACAACAACACTACAACAACACAACAACACAACAACAATAACACAACAACACAACAACAATAACACAACAACACAACAACAACACAACAACAACACAACAACACAACAACAATACAACAACAACAACACAACAACAACACAACAACAACACAACAACAACACAACAACACGACAACACAACAACAACACAACAACAACAACACAACACAACAACACAACAACAACACAACAACACAACAACAACACAACAACACAACAACACAACACAACAATAACAACACAACAACACAACACAACAACACAACAACACAACAACAACAACAACAACAACAACAACAACAACAACACAACAACAACAACAACAACAACACAACAACACAACACAACAACACAACAACAACAACAACAATAACACAACAACACAACACAACAACAACAACACAACAACACAACACAACAACACAACAACAACAACAACAACAACAACAACAACAACAACACAACAACAACAACATGTCATTTTCCTGTTCATATCATGTTAGAATAGTCCGTGAAGCAGGAAGACATGTCTGTGTTGAAATGTTCTAAACTCAATGTTTTTACACCTGTGTTTGTTTTCATTATCCGTTAGTCTGACAATTATTTTCTTAATGAGCCAATTAATAGTTTGGTCTATAAAATGTTGTAAAGTAGTGAATAAATACCCATCACCCATTTCCTAAAGCTCAAATGAACATATAAAACTACGGTGGCTGACAAGGACAAACGTTCTGCAGCGGCCCAAAACATTTCCATCAGGAGAAACAAGCTGCAAAGTCAGAAACAAACACACGAACAGAAAGTTGCTGCAGGAAGCTGCAACACATGGAGACAAACAGGCTGCAAATACAGAAACACGCCAACCTCCAGTAGCAGTCATATAACGACCACGATCACATTTTAGTTTCATCATTTTGACCTTCAGGCTGTGAAATCGTCGGTGGTTCTGCGTTTGCTCCTTCCTCTCTGACTCTGGTCACGTTTGCTGAGTGCTCTGTTTGAAGAGAAGCTCATCAGTGAGACGCCGCACAACAAGATGTTTATTCCTTTTCTGACTCCTCTGGGGTTAATTCAGCCCGCCGGCAGAACTTCTCACAGTAAATGAGACTTGAATGACCAGCAGTGTGTGAAATCATCAGTTGTTGTGAATGTATAAGGTGCATGTGACGGGCCTCACGGTAAACGGCAGCGTGACTTACGGAGGATGGTGCTTGTGAACACAGCCCTTCTCTAATGAGTCCCACAGTCAGCTCATTTACCAGCTAATCTGAGGCCTTTTCGCGGCCGCAGGCTTGAAAGGCGCCTTCAGGGAGCGCGAGCGTGACGGCCTCAGAGTCCTGAGTCAGTCCCTCGTTAGTATGTCAGGCGGCACGTGACTCCCGGCCTCCTTCAGGGCGACAGCTTCACATGATCGTAGTTAATTCCACAAAGACCTATACTGTAGATACAGCGTGCAGACCGGACCTGTGGCTGAACATCAAGTGTGTGAGAACAGAAAGGAGGAAGTAAAAACAGCTTGTTGTAACTTGTTGTTTTAATTAGAGCTGATCTGAAATCAGAGCAGCGTCTCTGTCTGAGACTGAAATGATGTGAATGTTCACTGTGTTCATCCGTCACATGCAGCTAATTCTCTTAAACATTCACATCCACTGGAGACACGCCGTGACTGCAAGCTCAGCTGGCATCGGTACATAAGTGTATAAAGTGTTTACACTGGAGTTCACACTCAACATTCACTCTTCCATTTAACATTTAAATTTAACCTGCAAAAAGTTCTTGTAAACTTATTCATTAAAACATCCATCTCTGGATCCTCGAGCAGATTCTAACTTTGCATGTGAAGGACAGACATGTATCACACTCTACGACACCATGAAACCTGGCTGCGGAGATTTGCTTCTGTTCAGCTGAAAGAGCATCATGACGTATATTTGATGGTAGAGATGGAAGATTTCTGACGGCTGTGTCATGTGACAGCTACAAATGACAACAAACACCAGAGCCAGTGACTTTAAGGACAGTGGACTTTAGCTGACACGGTTCATTCATGGTTTCACCTTCCAAGTCCAATACATCAGTTATAACGATGACTGGAGTATTAATGTGAAGACTTTACAGTCAGGAGCTTGTAGTGATGATAATTCCCATCTGACCTGAATGCAGCATTATGATGTTGAGCAGTAAGACTCGATTCCTAATGTCTCAGGTGTGTTGGAGGTCAGGACCTTTTCCTCATGCAGGTGTGTTTGTGTTTGGAGACTCAAACTGACACCACACGTTTGGAAACAGTAAAATATCATTTCATGGAGCAGCATTGAAGTTTCCCCTCAGTGAATACATACATAGAAACCGCTCTGAGGAGGTCACATGACACCGAAGACATGGCGATGAAGGCTCCCCTGGTTAGTCAGGAGACTCTGACATCAGGTCAAACACCATGTCTGTGACCGCAGCCCGAGGCGTCGAGCTTTCATCTGCTGCATCTGGAATTAAAGTGATAAAAAGGCCTGAAAGGCTGAGAGAGCTCACCCAGAGTTTCACCACTAACCACCACATACATTCCCGTCTGAACTGTCCCTCCTCTAACAGTCTGTCCTTTCTGCAGGTGAGAGACAGTCCTCAGACAAACTCCGCCTTCATCCGTGTTTCCAAGGAGCTGAGGAACAAAGACGAGTACAGTCAGGTCCTGTTCTCTGGCTTCTGCAGGAAGGTACAGTACGAGGGACAAAGCACCTCACACTTTCTGCTGAAGTCCGACTCTCAGGGTTGAATTTCTCCTCAGCTGAGGGAGTGAATGAAGGGTGTCACACCAAATCTCTCAAAAGGTTTCCTTCGTTGAGGAAATGATAGCAGTGAAAGAGATTATACAGCGGTCAGACTTGAAGGAAGGTCTTATCTGAAGGTGTTTGCTTCTGTTTCCTCTTTACTGTGGGATGTGTTCCTCTCTTCCTCCTCCTTACACCTTCTCTGTTTTACATCAGCTCATCTTTCAGGATCTCAACCCTCCAACATCAATCTTTAAAATGAGATAATAATAATCAGGGGATTAATCATGAAAGGAGCTGAACTATGAATTCATCCTTACAGTGTTTTAACCTTTAAGATTCTGCCTGTTTGAATCAACAGAATGCTCATTATTTTACCTCAGGATGAACTTGTTCTTATCGTCGGCCATGTTGTCAGATCAGGGACTGAACAGAGAGGGTCTCCACTAAAGTCTAGGTGAAGCTTTATCTTATGAAGAAATCAGGTCTTTGATAAAGTGAATGAAACACTGACAGACACACCAGAGCCTGTGTCTTGTCTCTTTTGTTTATTTCCTGTGTGTTACTTGTTTACAGCTGAGCAATGGAAACCCAGCAGACTCCACAAGTCTTGACAGAAAATAGACAGTGAACAAATGTGGAGTTTGATCCTCTGATCCTCTGTTTGTGTTTCTCTCTGTTCCTCTCAGGTGAATCGATTCAACAAAAGCACAGACCGCGGTGTCCTCGTCACAGACAAGTACGTCTACAAATTAGAGCCGAAGAAACAGTACAAGGTTTTGAAGAGGCTTCCTTTAGACGCTGTAAGTAGTCACACGGGAGACACACACACACACACACACACACACACACACACGTATATATATGTGTAAATATATTCATATTCTTAATCCTGCTTTATTTTATTTTCTCATCAATAACAACAAATGTCATTAAAAGACCAAAAACAACAATTGAATTAATACAGATAACAAGTTAGTGTTGTCATCAATAACTGACAAACACATCCAGTATAACAACAGTATAATTACAGTCTATAATATAATAATAATATATAAGTTTTTTAATAATATAACTGTTCAGACGGATTAATTCACTTTTAGTTTTAGTCTCTGTTGAAGCAGTTATCTGTAGGTTTTGCTGTTGCTACATAGCTAACGTTAGCATTAGCAGCTGTTTACTCTCCAGTCTAGAAGAAACGTTGTGAGTTCAGCATCAAACTTCATTCCTTTACTCACCAACATCTGTCTCCAGAGGTGGAAACAAACACAGATGTTAACTCTGGTCTCTGTGACGTCTTCTACTGATATTAGTATGCTAACAGCTAGCCCCGGCCCGTCTCCTCACTGTAGCCTCCTTCTGAAGACGCAGCTGTTCAGAGGACGTATCGATCTCTTGTCTTATAAAGACAATGATGACTGAAGCTCTCGTCAAGAGACGATCACCACCATGTGAAAAACATTTAGCGGCAGAGAAAACTTTCAAATAGCCCCTTTAAATACATTTAAACATACAGTAAAACATACAGTAAAATAATGCACCTCTCATTGCTTTTAAAGCGAGACTCCAGAGATTTATTATGACACTTTCATGAAGTTGGGATACTTACAAGAGACGGATTAACACCTGAGATGTCCTCGTGTTTGGTCCCTGATGTAAAGCCTCAAAAACTAAACTGATCTTGACCTTTGAACTGTCACATAATGAACCATAAACCAGTAATGAAAGGGGGACGACATTAACAGTCTGGGTTGTGAGGTGTGTGTCCTCACATGAACAAGAAACACAGATGCTCTGTTCAGCAGCTCCTCTTCCTCACAGCTACTGAATCTGGGTCACACTCATTGTACTTTATCCCAGCTGTCCTTTATTTCTCTCTCTGTTCTCTCAGTGCACTTCCTCTATTCACCACACACACTCACACACACACACACACACGCACACACTCACACACACACACACACACACGCACGCACACACACACATACACACACGCACACACACACACACATACACACACACACACATCTTCCATCATGTTTAACCCGGGTCACTGCCATCCATCAGTAAGAGAGGGAAGTATGAGAGCAAGAAGACGCCTGTGTGTTTACACAATAGACAAATAACCTGTTCAAGAGTGTGTGAGTGTGTGTGTGTGTGTGTGTGAGTGAGGCTGTGGTCCTGGCTTATCTTGAGGTTTCCTGCCGTCTGGGGCAAACCTGACACACTTGATGGCCTGATGTGAGAAAGTGGATCAGGGGTCTCTCAGGGAGCTCAGTGCTCTGAAGGACGGAGGCTAAAAGTGAAGAGAGACAGTAGATGACATCTTTATTTAATCCCATCTTTCAAGGTCCCTGGAAATAGGTTTTTGATCCTGGTTTAGCTCTGTGGTTTGATGTGTGTCTGACTGAGGCAGGATGTAGAGGAGGACGTACAGACGGCAGGGACTCGAAGTTTAAGAGTCTCCACATGTCAACATCCTCTTTTTAATGTTGTTCAACTGATTTGATTTAAACTGAGGACGCTATGAAAATATGGCTGTGGTGATAAAAGATGGAGGCAGACAGCAGCTGATGATCCATGGACATTGTTGTTGTGTAGAGGGAGTGTTGTGCTGTTGTATTATAGGTTTGACTCACAGTAATGAGACGTTGCTCTGCTTCAGAACTCTTCTCTTTAAAGTATGAACAGGATCATTTCACAGTGAAGACCAGTATCACCTTCCTAACGTCCAGCAGTGGTTTCACAGAGCGCGGCAGAGAGAGAGGAAAGAGCTGGAAACATGCCAGAGGGTGAAAAAGCTTCACTATGCAGCAGACTAAAGATAGCTGCTGCTGCTGCTGCTGCTGCTGCTGCTGCTGCTGCTGCTGCTGCTGCTCAGACTGTATCCAGGTCAGAACCAGAGGCCAGAGCTGAGCTCCTCCTGTGTCACCTGACTCTTCAGGCTGGACCATCAGCACCAGGACTGAAGGGTCAGAGGTCAAACACTGAGGACAGTGTGACAGAACAACAGCTCTGCGTGAAATTAGGATGATTTCTTCGATCGATTGGAAACATTTTGTTTTGACTGAAACTCATGAGCTTCAAAATAAAGTCCTGAAAAACAATGACTCTACAAAATAAAGTGCTGCATGAACATCTTATTCTTACAAAACTGATGAGTGTTTGGAGGGAGAAGTCCATTCATCCATTCATCCATCCATCCATCCTTCCATACATTCATCCATCCTTTAGATCATGTCTTTATTATGCAGCCTCACACAGACAGGAGTGCTGTTGTTAATCTCATCAGTTGATACTTTACATCAGGAAACGTCTCGACCTTCTTGGGGGGGGGTTCACATGACTGAACAGCATCGTCCCTCTGAGGGGACAGGTTGTCCCAGAGCGTGGCCTTGACGGTGGCGGGACGCCCTGCTCAGTCTGCTGGATTAACCTGTGTGTGCTGGGGGCCGTAAGAGGCTTAGTCCCCTCTGCCCCCCCCCCCCCAACACACCTGACTTTCTCCTGTCTCTGTCATGTTAATACTGTATGTATTTATACACATTGCACTTCTTCTTCTCTGTTTTGACCTCTTTAATTAACCCCCCCCCCCCGCTGGGTCTGACCTCATGACTTTGGTCACACGTGCACGGTGGGCAGAGTTTCTCTCACGCTACATAATGAGCAGAAATAATCTGCCTTCATTCATGCATGGTGTTTGATCCAGGATGTACAGCGCTGTATTAAACTCACAGCTATCATACGTCCACGCTGTAATCCCTGGACTTTTATACAAATTACTTTGCAGAGCTTCTGTATGTGTCACTGAATATCATCCAGTCTGACCACAGACTGTAGTCTCAGTCTGACACTCAGATCATGAATCTGTGCATGTGTAGTTTATTATATATAGAACTGGGACAAACTGCACAACCACTTATTTATTTATTTCATATTGCACATGTACAGAATCACCTACATGTATATTGTTATTGTATATAGTATTTCTGTTTTATTTATTTTACACTCTGATCTCGGGGCTCAATAAAGATTCATCTTATATAGGTACAACTGGAACATTAGCATGAGCAGTGATAGCTAACAAACAGAAATCTGTTAAGCTCCTGAACGCAACACATGATTGACATGTGATCAACAGTCTGTATTCACACTAAAGAACAAGAACGTCACAGTGTCCCACTTTAAGAACCAGCAATATTACTGTTACTATGTGTCTGTCTGCATGCATCAGAACATGAAGCTGCACTTTGATGAGTGACACCAGTGGGACATCCTGAACTCTGACCTTGTGTTTCCCTCCACAGTTCACAGGCCTGAGCGTGACCTCCGGGATTGACCAGATGTTGGCGCTGCACACGTCCTCTGAGGACGATGTCCTGCTGTGTCTGCAGCGAGGGGAGCTGTGCCCCAACCAGGACCGGGTGGGCGAGCTGGTGGGAGTGCTGGTCGACCACTTCACACGGTCAGTCCCACATCAACACGCTGGTTTCTTGTTCACACTGCAGCCTCAGACACAGTCTGTGAGTCAGGGACACGGTGGTCCTCGTCACGTGGTCCGGAGACACTCAGGCTTTAATTCTGTTCACGTGTCACCTGCAGCTCTGACCCTGTTGGACTGAGAGTGAAGAGGTGATGCTCCGTCTGCTCAGGTAGAAACATGAGAGCAGTCAGGTTTCAGACTCACAAACATCTGGATGTTTCCACAACAACGATCCTGACGAGACACTTTGACGTGTGTTTATATTAGTTATAGAGACAGACTATATTTATACCTGTGCAGTGATGTCACCTGTTGTTTGTATCAGACACTGTGTGACACTCATGTTGTCACCTGTGTTGGAGGCATGGTTTACTTTGAAGGTGTGTTTCAGTATTTTCAGAGTAAAACAACAGCTGGAAGATGGCTCGGGGCTGATGATACTTCTGCTGAGATTTAAGGCAAATATTAAATTAAACCCTTTAAAATTTAATTTATCATTATTATTATTACTAAAGCTACAGCCACATATACATGTACTTCTCCTGCAGCTGGTACGACTAAATCTAAAGACCAGGGTCATGATTTGAATACGATTTATTATTTTATTTTAGGAATTCTTATTATTGGGGTGTCTGCTGACAGTTAACCAGTGTAGGGGATTGCCCTGTTGCAAAGCAGAAAAACATGTCTGCTGCTCACAATTATACTTATGTTTTCACACTTCTTCCTCATCTTTGCTCTTTTTAATCATCTTTTAAATGGCTGAATAAGTGGTTTACCTCATTCATCACATCCATCACACTCACCACACCCATCACATCCATCACACTCATCACATTCATCACATCCATCAAACTCATGCACATTCATTACACTCATCACATTCATCAAATCAATCACATCTATTACACCCATCACACTCATCACACTCATCACACTCATCACATTCATTACACTCATCACATTCATCAAATCAATCACATCTATTACACCCATCACACTCATCACACTCATCACACCCATCACATTCATCACACTCATCACACTCATCACATTCATCAAATCAATCACATCTATTACACCCATCACACTCACCACACCCATCACATCCATCAAATCAATCACATCTATTACACTCATCACATTCATCACATTCATCACATCCATCAAATCAATCACATCTATCACATCCATCACATTCATCACACTCATCACACTCATCACACTCATCACATTCATCACACTCATCACATTCATCACATTCATCACATTCATCACACTCATCACATTCATCACACTCATCACATCCATCAAATCAATCACATCTATCAAATCAATCACATCTATCACATCCATCACATTCATCACACTCATCACACTCATCACACTCATCACATTCATCACGCTCATCACATTCATCAAACTCATCACGCGTTTCTTCTTCACTGGTGTATTTAGTGTCTCAGCAGTTCAGTGTGTTCCTCCTGGTCCAGATCTCGACGCTCCTGAGGTTTATGAGTCTCAGACTTTAGGTCAGGGTTTGGTTTTTGTGTTGGGGTTCAGGGGTGGTGGGGTGGGGAGGCTGGTTGGCTTTTCCTCAGAGAAAAGTGTTTTTGTTTACTTGGCCCAGAGCTCAAATATACAGCACTCAAAATACGGATATACAGAAGATATTCCTTTTTAAAATTAAAAGGAAACATCATCACTGAAGTTCCTGTTACTGTGTTTATTTTAATAGACAAAGGTAAAACCCCCTCCTCGGCCAGAGCCACACAGCTGCTACAGGGTCCACAGTGGCGCAGATACCCCTCCACCCCACCCCCACCCCCCCACCCCACCACCCCTGAACCCCAACACAAAAACCAAACCCTGACCTAAAGTCTGAGACTCATAAACCTCAGGAGCGTCGAGATCTGGACCAGGAGGAACACACTGAACTGCTGAGACACTAAATACACCAGTGAAGAAGAAACACGCTCACCTCATGTGATGAGTGTGATGCTTGTGATTGATGTGATGAGTGATGATTATGAGTATAATTGATGAGTGTGATGGATGTGATGTATTGTGATAGATGTGATTGATTTTTGATGGAGAGTGTGATGATTGTGATGAATGTGATAGTGATGAATGTTGATGAATGTGATGAATGTGATGAGATGTGATGAATGTGATGAGTGTGATGAGTGTTGATGAGGGTGATGAATGTGATGAATGGTGATGGATTGATGAACTGTGATGGATGTAATAGATGTGATTGATTTGATGATGTGATGAGTGTGATGATGTGAATGAATGTGATGAGTGTGATGAGTGTGATGAATGTGATGGATGTGATGAGTGTGATGAGTGTGATGGTGTTGATAGATGTGATTGATTTGATGAATGTGATGAGTGATGTGAATGATGTGATGAGTGTGATGATGTGATGGTGTAATAGATGTGATTGATTTGATGAATGTGATGAGTGTAATGAATGTGCATGATGATATGTGATGAATGTGATGATGTGATGGGATGTGATTGTGAGTGATGATGGATGAATGAGGTAAACCACTTATTCAGCCATTTAAAAGATGATAAAAAGAGGCAAAGATGAGGAAGAAGTGTGAAAACATAAGTATAATTGTGAGCAGCAGACATGTTTTTCTGCTTTGCAACAGGGCAATCCCCTACAACTGGTTAACTGTCAGCAGACACCCCAATAATAAGATTCCTAAAATAAAATAATAAATCGTATTCAAATCATGACCCTGGTCTTTAGATTTAGTCGTACCAGCTGCAGGAGAAGTACATGTATATGTGGCTGTAGCTTTAGTAATAATAATAATGATAAATTAAATTTTAAAGGGTTTAATTTAATATTGCCTTAAATCTCAGCAGAAGTATCATCAGCCCCCGAGCCATCTTCCAGCTGTTGTTTTACTCTGAAAATACACTGAAACACACCTTCAAAGTAAACCATGCCTCATCTCTCTCCTT